TAGGTACTTTCCTCGGGGTTTAGCTCCTCCGAGGTCACTTCCTATAGATCACTTTCTCGGGGTTTAGCTCCTCCAAGGTCACTTCTTCCAAGATCACTTCCTCGGGGTTTACTTCCTTCGAGGTCACTTCCTCCAAGATCACTTCCTCGGGGTTTAGCTCCTCCTAGGTCACTTCCCCCAGGAATACTTCCTCGGGGTTTGGCTCCTCCGAGGCCACTTCCTCGGGTTTAGTCCTTCGAGGTCATTCCTCGGTTTTAGCTAGCTCCGAGGCACTTCCTCCAAGATTCACTTCCTCGGGGTTTAGCTCCTCCGAGTCGGGTTAGCTCCTCCGAGGCCACTTCCTCCAAGATCCCTTCCTCGGGGGTTTAGCTCGTCCGACGTCACTTACTCCAAAAACACTTCCTCGGGTTTTAGCTCCTCCGAGCCTCCTCGGAGTTTAGCTCCTCCGAGGTCAATTCCTCGGGGTTTAGCTCCTCCGAGGTCACTTCCTTCGGGGTTTAGCTCCTCCGAGGTCACTTCCTCGGGGTTTAGCGCCTCCGAGGTCACTTCCTCCTTTCTCGGGGATTAGCTCCTACAAGGTCACTTCCTCCAAGAACACTTCCTCGGGGTTTAGCGCCTCCGAGGTCACTTCCTCCAAGAACACTTTCTCGGGGATTAGCTCCTACAAGGTCACTTCCTCCAAGAACACTTTCTCGGGGTTTAGCTCCTCCGAGGTCACTTCCTCAAGATCACTCCTAGGCCTATTCCTCGGGTTTAGCTCCTCCGTGGTCACTTAGATCACTTTCTCGGGGTTTAGCTTCCGAGGTCACTTCAGATCACTTCCTCGGGGTTTAGCTCCTCTGAGGTCACTTCTTCCAAGAACACTTCCTCGGGGTTTAGCTCCTCTGAGGTCACTTCTTCCAAGATCACTTCCTCGGGGTTTAGCTCCTCTGAGGTCACTTCCTCACTTCCTCGGGTTTAGCTCCTCCGAGGTCACTTCCCCAAGAACACTTCCTCGGGGTCAGCTCCTCGAGGTCACTTCCTCCTCCTCCGAGGTCACTTCCTCCAAAAACACTTCCTCGGGGTTTAGCTCCTCCGAGGTCACTTCCTCGGGGTTTAGCTCCTCCGAGCTTCCTCGGGGTTTAGCTCCTCCGAGGTCACTTCCTCGGGGTTTAGCTCCTCCGAGGTCACTTCCTCGGGGTTTAGCAGGTCACTCCTCGGGGTTTAGCTCCTCCGAGGTCTTCCTCGGGGTTTAGCTCCTCCGAGGTCAGATCACTTCCTCGGGGTTTAGCTCCTCCGAGGTCACTTCCTCCAAGAACACTTCCTCGGGTTTAGCTCCTCCGAGGTCACTTCCTCGGGGTTTAGCTCCTCCGAGGTCACTTCCTCGGGGTTTAGCTCCTTCCACTTCCTCTCACTTCCTCGGGGTTAACTCCTCCGAGGTCACTTCCTCAAGAACACTTCTCGGGGTTCTCCTCGAGGTCACTTCCTCTTCCTCGAAACACTTCTCGGGGTTTAGCTCCTCCGAGGTCACTTCCTCGGGTTTAGCTCCTCCGAGGTCACTTCATCACTTCCTCGGGGTTTAACTCCTCCGAGGTCACTTCCTCCAAGAACACTTCCTCGGGGTTTAGCTCCTCCGAGGTCACTTCCTCCAAGAACACTTCCTCAAAGGTCACTTCCTCAGCTCCTCCGAGGTCACTTGCTCCAAAAACACTTCCTCGGGATTTAGCTCCTCCGAGGTCACTTCCTCGGAGTTTAGCTCCTCCGAGGTCACTTTCTTCGGGGTTTAGCTCCTCCGAGGTCACTTCCTCGGGGTTTACCTCCTCCGAGGTCACTTCCTGCAACATCACTTCCTCGGGGTTAACTCCTCCGAGGTCACTTCCTTCAAGAACACTTACTCGGGGTTTAGCTCCTCCAAGGTCACTTCCTCCAAGAAACTTCCTCGGGGTTTAGCTCCTCCGAGGTCACTTCCTCCAAGAACACTTCCTCGGGTTTAGCTTCTCCGAGGTCACTTCCTCCAAGAACACTTCCTCGGGTTTCCTCCGAGGTCACTTCCTCCAAGAACACTTCCTCGGGTTTAGCTCCTCCAAGGTCACTTCCTCCAAGAACACTTCCTCGGGGTTTAGCTCCTCCAAGGTCACTTCCTCGGGGGGTTTAGCTCCTCCGAGGTCACTTCCTCGGGGTTTAGCTCCTCCACTTCCTCCACTTCCTCGGGGTTTAGCTCCTCCGAGGTCACTTCCTCCAAGATCACTTCCTCGGGGTTTAGCTCCTCCGAGGTCACTTCCTCCAAGAACACTTCCTTTGGGTTTAGTTCCTCCGAAGTCACTTCCTCCAATATCACTTCCTCGGCCTATTCCTCGGGGTTTAGCTCCTCCGATGTCACTTCCTCCATGAACACTTCCCGGGGTTTAGCTCCTTCGAGGTCACTTCCTCCAAGATCACTTCCTCGGTGTCTAGCTCCTCCGGGGTCACTTCCTTGGGGTTTAGCTCCTCCGACGTCACTTCCTCCAAGAACACTTCCTCGGGGTTTAACTCCTCCGAGGTCACTTCCTCCAAGAACACTTACTCGGGTTTAGCTCCTCTGAGGTCACTTCCTCGGGGTTTAGCTCCTCCGAGGTCACTTCTTCCAAGATCACTTCCTCGGTGTTTAGCTCCTCCGAGGTCACTTCTTCCAAGATCACTTCCTCGGGGTTTAGCTCCTCCGAGGTCACTTCCTCCAAGATCACTTCCTCGGGGTTTAGCTCCTCCGAGGTCACTTCCTATAAGATCCCCTCCTCGGGGTTTAGCTCCTCCGATGTCACTTCTTCCAAGATCACTTCCTCGGTGTTTAGTTCCTCCGAGATCACTTCTTCCAAGATAACTTCCTCGGGGTTTAGCTCCTCCGAGGTCACTTCAAGATCCCCTACTTGGGGTTTAGCTCCTCTGAGGTCACTTCCTCCAAGAACAATTCCTCGGGGTTTAGCTCCTCCGAGGTCACTTCCCCCAAGAACACTTCCTTGGGGTTTAGCTCCTCCGAGGTCACTTCCCATAAGATTACTTCCTCGATGTTTAGCTCATCCGGTCACTTCTTCCAAGATCACTTTCTCAGGGTTTAGCTCCTCCGAGGTCACTTCAAGATCCCCTCCTCGGGTTTAAGCTCCTCCGAGGTCACTTCCTCCAAGAACACTTCCTCGGGGTTTAGTTCCTCCGAGGTCACTTCTTCCAAGATCACTTCCTCGGGGTTTAGCTCCTCCGAGGTCACTTCAAGATCCCCTCCTCAGGGTCCAGCTCCTCCGAGGTCACTTCCTCGGAGTTTAACTCCTCCGAGGTCACTTCCTTGGGGTTTCGCTCCTCCGAGGTCACTTCTTCCAAGATCACTTCCTCGGGGTTTAGCTCCTCCGAGGTCACTTTAAGATCCCTTCCTCGGGGTTTAGCTCCTCAGAGGGAGCCCTAGAGCCGCGACAAGCAGGAGCGCGCGTGGGGAGATTCCCGGTGGAGCCGTCCGGGTCAAACTGTGACCCGTGGTCAAGGAACCACTGAAGAACAGGTCGCTGGTCGTTGGCGCTGGGGACGTGGACAGCTAACCCTGGTTCCTCAGTTTCCCTATTCAGTCATATTTTATTCAAAATATATTATTCAAATATATTTTGACTCTTGATATGGAAATTCGCTTGCATCGCACCTCGCCGCTCGTGCGGTATCAGTTTTTTTCGAGCAGTGTCCGAATGCAATCGTATGACAAATACTCGATTTTTAAAGACCTGCAGTCTAAATAATATTGACGGACAATCCAAAGATATAATTCCTTTGAGTTTTAATTTATATCAGGTATATACAAAATATAAAACTTTTTGTTCTTAAGAAATCAATGCTTTATATACACAATGCTGAAGCCAAGGGATTCATTTTCTGGACGCAGTGTTTACGACTGGAAATGGTGTAGATTTACATGGTGTTTTCATTCTGTTTGAGCTTGTAAATTGTTTTTTCCTTGAAGTATTATTACAGAGATATGAAAGTTTTAAGAGCACCGGTGACTTGCCTGTTTAGCAATTTATTTTCTGCTGTAATCAAAACTAACTTAATCTTACTGGCATCTGACCTAACGCTCAGTGAAGGGCCCTGGGGAAGAAATACTGTCACACATGTGCAGAAGCAAGGGGGCAGAACTTGTTCTGAACCAGGTGATAGGATTCTCCTCTATAAACGATGACGTCATGAGCCCTTAATGTCCAACATCAAACCCTAGATGCAAAGAGTTCGCGTCTGGGGTTATATTACAAAGGAGATGACAGCTCTGGTTTAGGGAAATCTATAGTTCTCACTGTGGGTAACAAAACATCTTTGAGAACATCCACGTGATTTGCGCTCGTGAATCGCACTCTGCCCATGTCATCCATCACGCCTTCTCTGCTCAAGCACATCCACCCAAACAAGCTAGCAGTGATTCTGTCGCTCCTTGTGCTCTCCACCTTGTTTTGGGGCTTCTATCTATAGTGAAGAAATAAATATTACAAATATTTAAAATGTTACCAGCTGTCTAAAGGTGGATCTTCGAATAGTTACTACATTTACACAGAATGAACCAACTCACTTACTTGGTGTTTGCTGTGCACCAAACATGTTTTATCTCCCACATTCCTTCTGAAGAGAATGTTTTGTCGACACAGAAAACAACCGTGTCCCAGAAGGAAGATCTCTTATCAGCCTGATTGCCTGATTCATATATAAAAAAAAAAAAAAATCATGATATCGGATTTAAAGTATTTACAACTATTTTTTAATGATCAAAAAATTCATAAGCAGTGTATTACTTTCCTTCGGAGCAGGTCGGTCGAATCGTGTGTCCCCGTATCTTCTGATCCACCTGGCTATGGTTGATTTTGCAATGCTCAGGTGTCACACAATCTCACTACTTACTCCAGCAATAAGAAGAGCAACGATAGCTCCTCCCAAACAGTGACACGTCTCCACTACGGTGTTTCATTTTGCACTTTTTTCAAGATATCCAAAGAGGCTGTTTTATTCGAGTCCAATATACCTCAAAACACAAACGCACAATTTTAAAGATATCCAAAGAGGCTATGTTTTATTCGAGTCCAATATGTCTCAAAACACAAATGCACAATTTTCAGAATTTTCTTGCCAAAATTGGCGGTGGGTGGCCATTTTTTTCAAAATAGCGCCCACAATACAGATTTTCACGTACATTGACCTTAAAAAACATGTTAATATGGCATGTAATATGTCTTTTCTATGGTTTTCAGGTTCAAGGAATATACCTAAACTGTCAAAAGTTATATTTGATGAAAGTTTATTGTCATACAGTTAGGTAGTGGGGGAAAATAATACATATTTTAGAATTTCAGATACAAAATTGTGCCCTGTCAAGCAAAATAAGCTGCACCAACCAATAATTCAACTCAGAACATTTTATATTCTGGTCAGAACCTAATTACAACTGCATTGATTGACTGAATGGGGTTTTATGCCACTTTCAACACATTAGGTGTTATATCATGAAAATAATAATAATAATAATAATTCCAGTGGTTATGAGCCGTTTTTCAAAAGTCTGAGAGCAAAATATGTAGTCCTCACATTGTAGTTGCTAGTATATTACAAATCAAAAGACAATTAATACATATAATTATGATAAAACAGATTACAATGGGTATTTTTTAATAATAATATCAAATGCAATCATTTATTCAGTAGATGGATTGAGATTAACAATTGTCTTATAAACACTATCAAGACTGATATGAATCATTGTACATATATTGTTATACAAACTTCACTTTGCTTAAAAACATACTATAGACTTGTCTTTAATTCGAAATTGCAGTAGGGCTAAATGTCAACAGTTAATTTTCTCTAGTGTATTGTTAAAGTCAGGAAATTGCTGACGGTGATATTAAATAGTCAAAAGTAAAGCTTGTTTTTGAGCTTCATCTTGGCACATATTTATAAAGTCTGTGATTAGCTTTATGCCTCGTTTTGCTAGATCATTGACAACATTAATGTTTCTTGCGAACTTGACAAACTTCTCATAATTTTCATCATCTGACCAAGTGCCATTCACATGTCCCAAAAGATCAAGAGCAGATTCCATAGAAGTAAAATTTGTTAAATTGCTGAGGCTGCTGCTGTCTGCAGTTGGGAAGCTGGTTTTTCCAGTATTGAATTGCACAGGTGTGACAGAGTGATACAGCTTCTCTGAGCCATGGATTCTCTTTCAGCACTGCCAAGACAAGTATCAGCCAATGCCAGAACAACCAACTGAGGGGTGAAATACCATAGGAGCCTTTGAATTGGCTGTAGGCAAGCT